GTGACTCGACTAATGGTAGACAGGATAAATTTTTCCACAGGTTTCTTTAACGAAGTACAGGATGGCCTATATCATGATGGATGCATGTTCTGTTTATAACAAAAAGTCCATGTAAGCTTAGATTGTGAGGATTGATTGATTAATTGATTAATTGATTTATTTGTATGTTGTTTTACGTACAATTCGAGAATTTTTCACTCACATAGAAACTCATATAGAAACGTCACCATACATCTATGAAGGGCTTCAAATTTAGACCTTTACTTGGCACTCAGGGCCATTGAGCTGTGAGGGTTCTTTATCGGGCCAACGCCTACGCGTCCGAAGGACCCGCAACTTTCACTTCAAAGTGGCGAGCGCTTAAGGAACAGATCACTTAATTTTACATAAAAGAAAATGAAAGCATGAGCAATAGATAACTTAATTTTTGAAGAATTTCATATTCTCACTGAATTATAAGAGAAAAGAGAAACCGAGTCATTGCAGGGTGGATGTTGTAGGAACTTGGAAAACGCCATTTTGACAGGAAATAAGCTGAAACCACTTGAAATTTTTTTTCTTAAATCAGGGAAAAATATATAAGAGAACACAAAAAGTTAATACATTGTTTTAATGTCCAAAATATCAAATATTGTCAATCTATCTAAAACTTGAATTTTGACAGGATTTCTGCCAATATTTGGCTTATTTAGAAAGGTTTTAAAACATTTCTTAAAAGCATAAAACAGCAATGCTCTGCAATGGTAGAAAAGTAGAAAAGGCAAAAAAAAAAAAAAAAAAAAAAAAAAAAAAAAAAATCCAGATACACAGACATCCACACAGACCAAATATTAAATAAACAAAAAGCATAAATAAGGCTGTTTCATAAAAAAATAACTGTGGAGTGTAGAAAAAAAAAACCCTGTAAAATCATAGAATAGCTTCAAGAAGATCTATGTTTAAATATTCTATCAACTTAATTGTTTGGTCACATAGATGCGCAAGTTAGAGTGTCCGTTGGAATGAAATAAATTCTTTATCGTGCCAACGCCTACGCGTCCGAAGGACCCGCAACTTTCAATTCAAGGTGGCGAGCGCTTGGCGAAGGAACAGTTGCTACCTATTTTTTTAGACTTAGGTTCGACCTTCCGATCACGTGTATCGATCACTCTACCGACTGAGCTTAGATTGTGAGGGAAAAATATATTTCTGGTATATGATACACATCTTTCACATTAACTGTTATAAATTCAGGGTCAAATAAAAAAAAAATACTTGATAACATTGCATATTGTATTAATATCCTCATATTTTTTAATGTGCAATAAAGGAGGCTCATTTGGAACAACTGTCTTCTATTTTTAAGTACTTGCCAGGACAGAAGTAGGATGAATAAAGAGGCCATGTTACAATTTGGGGTCTTGTGTATTCGCAAAAAAAAAAAAAAAAAAAAAGAAAAGAAAAAAGGTAGAAATAACAGCCAACTAAAACAGGGATGTTTTATTTTACAATTTATGTTGTAAATATCACAATCTTGTTGCTTGTCCTATATACATGCAGATTTGTATATATTACACACTGTACATGTGAAAAGATTAAAATTTCAATGAAGGTTTAAGGCACGTGATTTACTTTGTAAGCAATTATTTGTCAAGATATATTTCACTTCTATAAAAGAATTTGATTTTTGATGTTACGTACACAATGTTTTTCTTACTTTTATTCAGTATCTGCTCTACATTTGAAAAATGACAGTGAGAAAAAATAATTGATCTAGAGGAGTTGATCCATTGGTTTGATAATAAAAAAAAATCAAGGGAAAATAAGTCTTTAAAACAATTGAATAAATAAATAATTTTCCTAAACTTTATAGCTCTAAACAGGTAAAAAAGGTAAAAAAAAAAAAAAAGAAAAAGGTAAAAAATATATCCCCAATATCACAAATACGCGATTTGGAAATCCCCATGAAATATAAATAGGTCAGTATGAGTGACGTATAACATGACGTTTATTTCATCGTCTGCTTAGTGTTGTAGTCTACCTCGGTAACAAAATGGAGACGAAACATCAAGAAATTTCACAATCCTTGAAATAAGTTATTGTTGAATTTTATCAAAACAGAGACAAAATACCAGTGATTGCAAGAACTCTGACTTCAGTTTATCGAATTGTTCGTAGATATATCAGCACTAGATCGGTAGAAATTATGCCAAGATCGGGCTTGCTCGTTCCATTGACGATCTGGAATATCGGAGGCTCCAGAGAATTGTTAACAGAGATCGGAGGGCACCCTTAGGAGAAATAACTGCACGATTTAATGAAAACAGAACAACTTCAGGGTCTCAGAAGACTGTCAAACATAGACTTAAAGAAAATGGCTTTACTAGAGGTGTGTATAAGAAAAAAAGTTGTACATAAAAATGTCAACCGAAAGAAACGCTTGTCGTGGTATATTGAAAAGAGGTGGTGGAATGTACAAAATCAGTGGTCAAAAGTAATATTGAGCGACGAACCTCAGATATGTGTTGGTTAAAACAACCGTGTTTAGGTTTGGAAAAAAGCAGGAGAGGGTTGGAGACCTGACTTTGTACCGCAGCAAAATGGCCGCAAGTTCAGCATTATGGTTGTGGGTGTGTTTGTGTTTCGGCGGCATCGGAACATTGTGTCGAGTTGAAGGGAACATTAATTCATAAAAAAAATTATATTTTAGATACAAACATTTGGTCAGTTATTTTGCGTCAGTTACCTTTTTCAAGACGATGAACTCCAGTCCCAGATGACAATATAATTCCGCAGACGAACTTTTTCTACATACGCTCAGGATATGGCAGGACATTAACGTAAATTATGTCAAAAACCTTTATCATTCTATTCCAAGGAGAATATAACTGGTCATTAGATTGAAGGGTCATCTTACTAAGTATTGCATCCTAACAATGTCAAGGTTTTGTGATTTCGGAACTCCACACAAACCCTTGACATAAGTCGCTATTTAAAAGTTGGGCTAGAAAGCTACTATTTCATTTGTTCTTGGTCTAGGACCGGAGCCAATCAGAAAACAGCTTTTATTGTAGGTAAGTTTTGTAAACAAATATGACTCGTCTTTCAAATGGAAAGTGTCGATATTGTAGGATTTGTGACTAGCTACATTAAATGAAACATCGGTGATTAATTTATGGAAGATCGTCCTCCTAACAATCACAAAAGATATGCTCTGGAGTTGGGCCATTTGAAAACGACGGATTTGAAAAATAAATTCTTATTGGTTAGTTTATAATTACCCATTATGTCATGTGTAACCACAAACCCAACTTTTAAATAGCGACTTATGTCAAGGGTTTGTGTGGAGTTCCGAAATCACAAAACCTTGACATTGTGAGGATGTAAGTAGTGAGGTAACTTATTTTGTATTTTTGTCCTAGTAAGTCAGCTGTGAAGACGTTTATTTGCACGAGTTGTCCCTCTTGTATTAGAAACGTGACGCCAATTTTTTCTCAACACTTTTGTCCCCCTGCTGTTGCTCTTGGACCATATTCTGGTTTGTAAAACAGTTTATCAATTATTCATCATCTGTTTGGGTTTGCTATTGCATGCATTATCCAAAAACATCTGGATGCACTTATCAACAGTACAATTTTTATACGTCATGTGACACACAGCTGATACGATACATGCTATGTAAAGTTTTGCTTGTTTGCTTGTTGTTTAACGTCCCTCTCGAGAATTTTTCACTCATATGGAGACACCACCACTTGCCGATGGAGAGCTGCAAATTTTGACCTATACTGGGCACTCAGGTCCATTGAGCAGTGAGGGATCTTTTTCGTGCCATTACCTACTGCGACACGTGACCTCGATTAATACGGTCTCATCCGATGGACCGGTCTCCACGTCCCACAGTGGGATTCGCGACGTAAGGATCAACTTCTTACTCCGCGACTCTATAGCAAACGATCTAACCATTGCGCCAAGCGGGCGACCCTTTGTAAAGTGATGTTGTAGTATGACAGAACCTCTTCATTATAGGTGTATATATTGCTATTCTTATGATTATGTAAATAATTACTCATGTTGCAGTGAATATTAAATCTCTTATATAAGAAGGTAGTTATATTACAGTTTCTATGAATTTCCTTAATGTTCCAGAAAAACACATTGTCGTTGTTTTTAACAAAAAGTACTTAGAATTTATACTAAGAAGATTTGCATGGTGACTTTCCAAGTTCGATTTAAGAAAAATGATTGAAGTTAGTTTAACAAAATAACACCATAACATTAATTTTATTTGTAACAGGTATACACTAGTGTATATTCCAGTATACAAATATATACATGTACGTGTTTATTGACTCTCGATTTACCTCTATTGGTTTTTCCAATGGAGATTTCCAGAAAAATATTTTCCGGACATTGAATATCATAATGGTTTGGTACATGCATGTATAAATAAAATCGATTTTTCATGACAAAGACATATACTAGTATATTAACTGCGAATGATCATATGATGTATAAAGTTTTCTAGAGAAAAAAAATAGGTAAAAAAAAATGGAAGAAAAAGTCAAAACAAGAACCAAGATATTTACATCAGGATGTATTGTGTAGATGACTATTCCTTCAAGCCAGTGTTTATTAAATAAGCACTTGGATTGGCTGTTAACACTATTTAGAACCTATGAGTCATTTTAGTTACTCATTATGCAAAAATGTGTTTAGGGAGATGACATCATTTCATCTGACGTAAACATTTCTGAATTCTATGCCCCTGATCAGCTGAATCCTTTCCTCTTGGATCACTTATTTGAAATTTTAATTTCAATACTGACAAAATGAGCAATAGATAACTTGATTTTTGAAGAATTTCGTATTTTCACTGAATTAGAGAGGACAGCGAAACCGAGTCATTGCAGGGTGGATGTTGTAGGAACTTGAAAAACACCATTTTGACAGGTAATAAACTGAAACCACTTGACTTTTTTTTTCTTAAATTCGGGAAATATATATATAAGAGAACACAAAAAGTTAATCCATTGTTTAATGTCCAAAATATCAAATATTGTCAATCTATCTAAACGTTGAATTTTGACAGGATTTCTGCCAATATTTGGCTTATTTAGAAAGATTTTGAAAATTCTTACAATCCTAAAACAGCAATGCTCTGCAGTGGTAGAAAAGGCAAAAAAAAAAAAAAAATAAATAAAAAAAAATAAAAAATAAATGAATAAAATAAATCTAGACACATAGGCATCCACACAAATCAAATATCAAATAAACAAAAAGCACGAATGAGGCTGTTTCACTAAAAAACTGTGAACTATTAGAAAAAAGAACTGTAAAATCATAGAATAGCTTCAAGAAGATCTATGTTCGAATATTCCATCAACTTAATTGTTTGGTCACATAGATGCGCAAGTTAGATTGTCCCTTGGAATGAAATAAAGTATATAAATTTTAAATGAAGCAGCAGAGAGAAATTCAAAGAAAGTTAAACGATATGATATGAATAAAAATATCTCACTTATGTTCAGTCTTCTGCTCTTTTTTTTTATCGAAATGGCATGAACGTACAGTCCTAAAGGGCCACGCAACCAAAAAAAAAAAAAAAATAGCTGGTACCTTGAAGTCCTTAGCTATTTTTTTTTTTTTTTTTTTGGTTGTTGTTGTAAAATTGGATCCTTTCTGTTTCTTTCATTAAACAATTCAATGAATTAAAGAAATCAATAAAAAGAATCACATCTAAAAGTCAGTAGCCCTTTTCACAAAAAATCTTAAGTTTTTGCATAAGATTTTAACTTAAGAATCTCTTACGACAAATCTTAAGTGCGTTTCACGAACGCATTCGTAGCAGATTGAAGTTAAGATTTTTACTTACGACAGACTTCATTCCTAGCAACGACTTCAATATGCTTTACAATCCTTAAATAAGTGGGTGAAAATAAAATAAAACTTAGTTTTCAACAATTGTCAGCATAACAAACATTATTGACAACAAATATCGAATGCAATCATTTGTGAAGCAAGGAAGTTTAAAATCTGACGTCACAATCACAAGTCTGACGTAAAAGTAGGTCATACGAAAATCTTAAGTGAAACTTACATCGTAAATATTTTGTAGTGTATTTCATTTAATTTTTCGACAATGATTGTGAAAAAAATATAAAATATTATTGTAAGTTGCTTTACAACATTCAATTTAACGTGTATTTTGGTTTTTGCGATTATATTTTTACAATAAAATCGGTTTTAAAATACTTAAGAGAGGGTTGGGGCTCTCGTAAAGTTACGACAGATTTTGCACTTACGACTTTCTTAAGAATTTTTGTGAAAATGATTTTTATCATAAGTTTTCACTTAAGATAAAAATATGTCGTAAGATTTTTTGTGAAAAGGGCTACTGATGAATTACAATTTCACCAATTTCACTAAGAATTGTCTCAAAGGATCTGCAAGGTCTGCTAGCTATAATTCATCGTGGATCAGTCGTTGACGACCAATCTCTGTTATCTTACTCAACAGTGCTGTCGCCTCGGATTTCAAATTCTCGCCTGTCGTGATAGGCAAGTCAATGATAACGTATTGTTTGGTGCTGACGTCATACAATGGCCACTCTGGAACATTTTCACCGTTTGGATTTCTGAAAAAATAAGTTTTCCTTTCACAGTTGATAATTTGATAAATAACATGTACAACTGCTTTAACAAAGATGTTAAAATTCAATTGTAATGATTCATTATTTTGTTATTATTTAAATTAGATAACATTCAAAACGTTACAGCAAATATGTCACTTTTCCTTTCTGTGAAAGTTAGAATGAATTTCTGCATCTTAAAAACAACACTTTCAAATGCTGTTTATTCGCTTACTGCATGCTGTATTTTTATTTATGTATTTATTCATTTATTTATTTATTTATTTATTTATTTTTACATTTTTCGAAGTTGATCTGATGTATAAAAAAGTGATGTTTGCAATCTAAGCTCCTAGCACGACAGGTTATTATGTATAATCTATGTGTAATAATGGGCAAACAGAGTCTTACCCAAATTTGGCAAAATTGGTCCAATACTTGACAACATAGTCTGACAACTTCTTGATGTCGTCAAGGTTAACGTTTTTAAATTTTTCTTCTGAAAGAGCCGTTATTTCAAAATTAAACATTAGATGCAATTCATCACCGTGTCCAGCACCCTTAAACCAAGCTGGTGGATCTCCTCCGAAAGGCATAGGACTTGTTTTTGTTATCAGATATTGGAACGATCTAGCCCCTTTATTATTTTTGGAATGAATAGATAGCATAATATTACTTGGTACTATGAAGGAATAGTCACCGGTAAATTCGCAGACTTTATTACTCTGTGCATCAACGCTCTCCGCAGTAGTATAAAAGTCGCATATTTCCTTCGCCAATTCTGGGACATTACCAACAACTGTTTCCACATACGTAGGAGCATGTATTTCACAAAGAACACCTAGTGGAATTTTTTCTGTGACGTTGAAATCGAAATGTTCTTGAATTTGGGGTGATATGCCCAAATATACCATATTTCCTTCCCCATCTAGTGTCCCTGACATGAAGTCAACAGTGCGGAAGAAACTGTAAATGGAATCATCTGAAGATCGTGGATATGCAAGATGTTCCTTTATAAGCTCACCGTCAATACAAGGAGTTAATCCTCCAGTTATAAAGGACGTATTCAATGGAGTCTGCAGGTCCATAAATGTCAATGCATTTGTTATGTTTTCAGCCGGAAGATCTTGAAGACATTTCAGGATCTCAGAGACCTCATCTTTATCTTTGCAGTTAACTCTCTCTAAAAGTAAATCTGCGTTTCGTTCCTCCTGTTCTTTTTTGGAAATGGAAAAGAAGTTTACAACTCCACTCTGTGAAATAGCTCGCTGGAACAGTCCCTTGTTTGAAGGAATTAAAGTCAGAAGACTAACAGCCATTCCACCCGCTGATTCTCCAAATATAGTGACGGACTTAGGATTGCCGCCAAATGCTGCGATGTTGTTTTGAACCCAACGGAGGGCCTCAATTTGGTCCCAAAGGCCATAATTTCCCGCCATTAGTGGGTTGTTAAGTGTGAGGAAACCTAGGAATCCAAGTCTGTAATTTATTGTTACCACTATGACGTCACCTCCTAAAACTAACTTATGAGGTTTATACTGATTAGCTCCACCAAAAAAGAATCCTCCTCCATGAATCCATACCATTACAGAGAGATTTCGATCTTTTGATACCTTTCCAGGAACGTAAATATTCAGATGCAAACAATCCTCATCTAGTTGCATATCATCGAAACCAGGCACGGGGAAATTCCATTGTGAGCACGACATACCAGTCTTCTCTGATACGCCTTGGACACCCTCCCATTCTCCAATAGGCTGAGGTTTCTGAAAGCGGAGTTTTCCCAAGGGAGGCTGCGCGAAAGGAATTTTAATAAACCTGTACACCTGTCCATCGTCAAAGTTTTCTTCATAACCCCTGACCCAGCCTGATGGGGTTTTGACTTCCACAGCGTTTATAACATCTGTTTCAAAGGCTTTGGAAATTGTTGATAACAACACCACCATCATAATCTTACGAAGATCCATTTTGATTCTAAGGAAACCTAATGGAAAAAAAATAATGTTTTATATACTAGTATATATCGTACATCGTAATGATAAGGGAATAATATTTACTGAACTATAAATGAACATTTAAAAAGCTTTCCGTATAACTAATTGTTCTAAAAAGGAGATTTTCAAATCAAGACATTTAACCCGAAGAAATTTTCCAGCTGAAATAAAATGACAGGGGAATAATTACTTTTTTCAAGATTACAAACTAAATTTCATCGATACATGTACGTTATTAGAAGATATAGGAACATACAGAAATTCACAAAAAATTATTAAGATGATGAGCTTTATTTTATAAATTATAAGTGTTCAAAGCAAAGGTTTTACAGACATATATAGTTATATTTTTTTAAAGACAATTGGAGCATTCCATGGCTATTTTATCACTTAAAGAATACTCCTGTGAAATATAATTATAAAATAATTGTATGTATGCAATAAAAGTCAAGCTACAGATACTATTATGCATTGAGGGTAATTTCTTTTGATTGGTCTTTTCACTCTTTTGTTTAGAAAATATCTAACATTCCCTATCGTTCAGCACAGAAAAAAACTTAGATACATATGCAATTCAAAAAATAATGCTTTTTCAAGCCAAAATTATGAAAACTAAAGAATATTGTTGAAAATGGGTGTAAAACAGGTTTAATGATTCATTCTAATAAGTTTCGTAAAAATTGTGTGACAAATGTTTACCTTTAACAACAGACAGTATTCACAGTAAGTTAAAGTTTTTTTTTTTAAAAGAATTTTCTACTCGGTTTTGGTTTATTTTATCAAGGTGCATTTCTAATTTATACAGCGTCCATGCAATACATTGTTAAATATTCTGATATTAAAACTAATTTATATAAGCAGTGTTACAAACCAGTATTTTAAGATGAATCTTCTCCATTTATGTGCAGCTAAGATAGGAATGTGGTAAACTATATATCGTGTCTCTTCAGACGATGTACACTAGATGACATACCTAGGAGCTTTTGAGACAAGGGTCACTCAGAGGAAAACGCTAACGAAAACCCTAACGACTATTTTAAGACGATAGACCGTGAGAAACATACACTGATGAATTTTTAGAAGACACATTTACGAGACGCTTTTGAGTCGAAGGGCATTAAGTGCAAATAGGAAACGTAGAGTAGGTAGTACATGAGCTTCTTGTATTTGCAGCTTATGCTAATTTGCTTTTCCTCATTTTAGTGATTTTAGTGATTTTATTACTGGTCATATTTTATTAGCTCTTCTGAGCCAAAGGCTCAAAGAGCTATGTTATGGCCATTAGTGCGGTGTGTGTAAACATTTTAGAATACGAGCCATAACTTCAGAACCCCTTGGCCAATTATTGTCAAATTTCACAGGGTATCCTTGGCCCAAGGGCTCCCATTTATGCTAAAACTAGGGTTGTGACCCTAGAACAAGGGAAGATAATTAGGTAAATAAAACCAAAATTACTGGTTGCTTAAAATCTTCTTCTCAAGAACCACTGGGCCAAATCTTGTCAGTTGATGCATCTTATAACGTCATATCAGGCTGATTCAAAAGTAGGTCACGATGACCTACTTTTTTTAATTTTGTGGTCATTTGTTTTCAAATAGATTTTGAGGCATATTTTGGACACTTTACGGCCTATGATCATCAAACTTTGTCAGTTGATGGATCTTGCGTCCTCAAAGTACATCAACTGAAAAGTAGGTCATTGTGACCTACTTTTTTGAATTTATGGCTAATCTTTTTCAAAACATTTAAGTGTCATTATTTCAAATACTGAAAAGTGTGGAGTCATCAAACCTGAATTTGCAGGTATTTGTTTTCAAATTATTTTAGAGACATATTTTGGACACTCTCAGACCTATGATCATTAGACTTTGTCAGTTGATGCATCTTGGGTCCCCGGAGAACGTCAACTAAAAAGTAGGCCACTGTGACTTAGTTTTAAATTTATGGCTATATTTAAATATCTCAGATCTTAATTGGCTAAGAATCATCAATCTTTGTCAGTTGATGCATTTTGTGTCTTCAAAGAACATCAACTAAAATGTAGGTCACTGTGACCTACTTTTGAAATTTTATGGCAATATTTTAATATTTCTGGTACTAATTAGCTAAGAATCATTAAACTTTATCAGTTGATGCATCTTTGGTCCTCATAATGTGTCATCTAAAACGTAGGTCAAAGTGTCCTACTTTGGGAATTTCAAGGCAATATCTATATACATGTAAATAAAATAATAAGAGTCTTAAAATAATCGAACTTTGTCATTTTGGGGTCTCGGAGTATGCTTACCAAAAAGTAGGTCACTGTGACCTACTTTTGGAATCTCAATCTCATGGCTATATCTGAATGTTTAAGATATTAAGTGACTTCAAATCATCACAATTTTTTAGTTGATTCATCCTGGGTTCTCAGAGTGTTTTAACCAAAATGTAAGTCATGATGACCTAGTTTTGGAATTCCATGGCTTTATCTAACTATACAACTATACAGAGTACTTAGAGGCTTCAAATAGAAGTGATAGGTTGTACAATTTATCGGAAGAGCTATTCAAGGCCATTGGGCCTCTTGTCAATGGATACACGGGCACTGGAATTTAATGTTAATATTGCGTAGGTGCATGTATAGAAAGGAAAGGTAGGGTGATTTGAGTCAAGTTCGAATTTGTGGTACTGTATACAGGGTTATTTAACCCTGTGTTATTTTCGCCCTTTTACACTTGCAAACCATTTTGCCCTGTTTTAAATTCGTCCATTCAGAGTTCTGTTTAAGAAATTCTAATGTGGTTTTTGAATTTGGCCCGTTTTAAATTCGCCAACCTGTGAGTAGGGTGAAGGGGCTAAAATAAAACTGGGGCGAAAATTTCCCTGTATACAGTATTGTGGATGTTTTTCAAATGTTCTGACGCGTCAAATCTTTTTTATATAAATTACATAAAATATATACATTGCCTCATTCCACTTCAATGAATTTTACTCGAAGAAATGGATGTTTCTACTCCTCCAAATGCAAAAGAATTTCGCTAGGTTGCATTACTTCCGGTTACCATCACAGTGAAGTCAAAGATAAATTCTGATGATCACTTTTAACATGAAAATTAATTTTAAATATTAAAAAAAATGAAATGCTATCTTTTACTGGATTTTACAGCCAATGTATTTCATTTGGTAGATATTTAATTTTTGATGTCAATTTCTACTGCTTGGTTTTTCGGCGAAACGTACATGTAGCTAGACAGTTGTTTTGTTTTGTTTTGAACATATTTTATTGATTAAATCAAAAGGATTGGAAACAAGTTCTAAAATAACTTACTAGTTCCTAGACAGTTCGCAAACCATTTACTGTACCCAAAACTCGAATTCACCGGGAAAAAAGAGTGCCCCACCCTTCCTTTTTTTTTATACATGCATAAACTCTACATTTACATTCAGTGAATGTGAGTTGATCTAAATGCTATTCGAGCTCCGAATATAAATTGATAAGCTATATTGGAGATAAAAAATCGATATACGTACAGGTAAGAGTTTTGTTTCTAAATACATGTAGTCTACCTTCTTTGAACTTTTATCGGTGTATGATCCAAAGAATACTTATTTGAATCTTTCTATTCATTTATGCAAAATTAATCATCGTTCAAGATAATCGACCAAGGCATGACTTACCTTGATAATTAATAAATCTTACCACGTATAAAAAGTGTTGTCCACACAAATCTGTTTGAAGATTGAAAATGACCTAAATTGTGACCCTTAAGATCTTGTTCAAATATCAAGGGTGATGTTAGTATGAATGCCGTCATTTGAGGCATTTCCATATTATTTCTGCATATTTTTCAGTGGAAAGGTAATGGTATTAGAAGTAATATATTTTATAAATATCAAAGGATCCGGTGTTTGTTTGTTTTTTTTTTTCTTCTCATTAATGTTGCACAACATTCCTTTTTAGCACATCTTTTCTCCCATTCTCTGATCCTTTCTTAAACACAATAAAATTAAAAATCGATCACAACTTGTTTCCTTAATTTGATTAGAAAATGTCACACGTAAATGCCCCTCTTACCGATGTTTAGGAAAGGATTCAACAAGTCATAACATCTCATTTGGATGATTTCAGAATAATTAAAAAATTAGAGAGGATATTATTCAATCTTGTATGTATTTGCTTAAAAATTATAATGGTATTAGATTTCTTACCTGCTGTCGACGACAAAAATCAACTCTTAATGAAATTTCAGATGGACACTTTTCATAAGCTGCGTACTAGATATCAAAATCATTCAAAAATAAAGATGATATTGTACTCATTTCGAAAAGACTTCCTGTAAGAAAAAAACCCCATCAATTTCGATGAGTCAGATTAAATTGCTAATAAAATACGTAAGGCCTTTGCATTGTTTGCATGATATGAGCTAACATGTTTGCACTGTAAATAAAGTGAGTGTCCTCGATTTTAAACTCTCTAAGCAAAAATAGAAATGCACACATCGGAAATGTGTTTTTCACACGTTGACACTTTAAAACCTGTTGAGTCAGAAAAAATGTTCTTGAGTCATAAACGATTTTGTGTAAACATTAGTTAACACTTTTACAATTCGTTGACGTAAGAACAGTCAGTCTGAGCATAGGATGAATTTAACAAAACATTGGGTTAAGAATAACAATGCAAACATATACGTTTTTATATTTGTTTTGATGAGCATTGTACAGATAACAGAGAAAACTAGAGGTAGTGTACGCAGTCAGCAAACAAAATGATACCCCCACTCCCAATTGAGTATAATGGCAATTTCCATTTTGTTTTTTGTTTTTGGGTTGTTTTTTTTTTGGATATGGGAAAGCCTAAATAATGTCAGATCAAACTATAAAGTTGGAGAGGCTCATTGACACTGTGTAATAAAGATTCTGTGAAAGAAAGTATCATTCAGTGATATAAGAGGAGTTGCGGATAAGACATGGGTACCCTGATGATATAGAAAGAACGGCAGTGTCCTTGTTTTGCTATGTAAAACCTAAATATTTGTCGAATTTTAAAGTAAATTAGGAGATGCATAATAGCATATGGCCACACCAATAAAATGTGTTGTTCGTCGGACCCGCGCGCTCGTATTTAAGGAAAACTATACAAATAATATTAATTTCATTTTCCCGCACCATGGAAATTCTGTGCTATTTTCTATTCAATTTCCGCTCTATTTTTCGTATTTTAAATCTGCTTACTCTGCAAATCAGAAAAAAATATAATTGTCCGCTCAAACTTTTTACGCTCCGCCTAAAAATTTGCCTACAAAAAAGTGATAAAATTATTTTTTCACAGCTTGCCCGTTCGTACTTTTTTCATCAAATGTCCGACGAACAAGAAATTAAATTGGTGTGGCCTTATAGAAAGAATGCCAGATTCTAAGTTTTGCTATGGGAGATCTGAAATATGTGTCCTATCAAAAAGTAAAATAAAAGGTAAACAATGGCATTATGTAATAAAGATTCTTAAAAGTCTCATTAAATTTTATTCAGTGGTATACGATGGAGTTGAAGATAAGAGATTGGTACCCCAAAACGTAATAGGAGGACGAACGGACACCCTATCACTATACAAGTGGGAATGTAAACATTCTTAACTGGGTAGACAGTCTACCCAGTTTAGAATGTTTATATCCCCGCTTGAAAAGTGAAACTATCCAAATTGGATACTATATACTATCTATATTGTTTTTGTCCTGTTTGTCTGGTTGTCTGTTTGTCTGTCGTCAACTTTAACCTTGGCCATAACTTTTGAATGGTTGGAGCTAGGGCTTTCATACTTCACATATGTAATTCTTGTGACAAGACCATCCTTTAAATACCAACCACTTTGACTCTTTGACCTTGACATAGGAGTTTGACCTACTTTTGAAAAACTTTAACCTTGGCCATAACTTTTGAATGGTTGGTGCTAGGGCTTCTATACTTCACATATGTAATCCTTGTGACAAGACCTTCCTTTGATACATGTACCAACCACTTTGACCCTTAGACCTTGACATAGGAGTTTGACCTACTTTCGAAAAACTTTAACCTTGGCCATAACTTTTGAATGGTTGGTGCTAGGATTTTCATGCTTCACTTATGTAATCCTTGTGATAAGTCCTTTCTTTGGATACCAACCACTTTCACCTTGACCTTGACATTTTACTTACTTTTTAAAAAAAACTTTAACCTTCGCCATAACTTTTGAACAGTTGCAGCTAGGTCTTTCAAATTTCACAGGTATATTCCTCGAGACAAGACCTTTCTTTTGGTACCAACATTTTTTATCTTTTCGCCTGGATTTTGACTTGCATTTGAGAAACTTTAACCTTCGCCATAAGCTGTCATACGGGGGAATCAGTGTTTCACAAACACATCTTGTTTGTTTCTGTATATGTCTTTAATGATAGATAATTTGAGGTTATTTTTATAAATATCAAGAAAATTTTCGTTAATATTTATTTGGAATAATCTAACATTTTCTACTGACGTTTTGGGTATGTTGCTTATAATTTAATACCGGTGTTTTGAACACATTTAGAATTCATCTGAAAGTTTTTTTTTTTATCTTCTTATACTATTGTATATAAATATTTTTTTCCACGATTATTTTGCAAAATATTTAGATTCTATTTGACTTGTTAAATGTACAATTATTCCCTTTAATGTACGGGACAACAAAGCAATTTCCTTTAAACTGCATTATTAAAAAAAATGTCTGTTTTTCTATTCATTTATACAAATAATTGGTAGATATCACTGCATAGGGACAGAAAGTTTCTGTCCATACTGTAGATCTACTTTGGATAGAGAAGTCTGAGGATAGATGTTCTTTGACTCTTAGTTTGCATAAATTATCATTTCAATTTTAAAACTACTTTATTTTAATTAGATTAGTAACACAGAAAGCAGTAAATTGATACCAGTTTGAGTGTAAATTGAATTCACCAGGTATTGAAAAAAAATATCCATTGAAATACATATCTATAGAAATATTACATGTATTATTCTATATAAAGAACTGCGCCTCTTTTCAGAAAAAAGGTCTTCCCATCGAATCAACGCTTTGTGGGATAACAAGACACAGGACACTGCATGTTTACTATTTATTTATTTTACAAACTTTAATCCACAAAAATAATGTGCACGAAAATAATACAAAACTTATATGAAACTGATTTTTTCAGGTATTTGACATTTTAAATTTAAATATACATTGTAATGAAAAATGATTGCATGCTTAGCAATTTTTTCAAGAATATCAGGTAATATTACTTTAAATGATGTACAGAAATACAGTAATTGCAGATTTATAAAAATATATAGATATAATTGAATCAGAGTCTTTGACAATCATAGTCAATTCATTTTCTAAATGGAGTTTTGCTCGATCATATGTAATTTACAAAAAAGGTGAACAATTTATTTTAAAAACACCATCATTTCCTGAGCAATTATTCATGATGCTGTACGCTCCTAATAAAGAAAATTACGCCTCTTTAGATCCACGGAATGAATGTTGAAATCTGAACAAGATTTCAACACTCATTCTGTGGATCAAAAATGTTGATTCTTATTTATTTTGAAATGTTTTCTGCAATCAAATAACATTCGTAAATTTTCTTGATACCATGATAACTGCGTTTTTTCCTATCTAGCTTGTAACACGAGATCTGATTGGTTTGTAATTATAGTTTTTCTATCACAAAAAGCAAATCACAGCACATCACGATGCATCGCAGCACGTAGTAAATCTTATCGGTAGTTTGAAAAAGCCATTATTTGGACTTGGGTTTACAAAGAATTTATTTGGTTACAAAGGAAATATATTTGTTATCCAGATCAAATTAAAGGTGTAAGGGGATTTTACCCCGGAATGCATTCCAAACACCCATCGGCCTCAGGATATATGGAATAAAATCCGGGGTAAATCCCTGTACACACTTGACTAAATCCGGATAACTACATGTAATAATACAATAATTATTGAAAGGGAATGAATAAGCAAATTAAATTTTCATAACAGTATAACACAAACAAGTTATAACTTAATCACGTTATGAAGCAGTCAAATTCACTAACATCCACTTATCACAAAGAAGGCAATGTATGTGTATTTTATAGCTAATCAGCTATAATTCATCGTGGACTAGCCGTTGTTGACCTTTTTCAATTATTTTGGTAAGTAGAGCTGTAGCTTCAGGTTTCAAATTCTCGCCTGTAGTAATTGGAGTATCTAAAATGACGTAACGTTTATTGTTGACGTCATATGATGGCCACCTTGGTACACTGTCTCCATTTGGATCGCTGGAAAGATTTATTTTCAAATTATTTGTACTTCATAATTAATATTTTGCCAAATATAATACTCGTACTTTTAATAGATCTACATGTAATATCATGCAAGTTTCACAGTGTTATTCAAATATATCAAACGCAGATTATATACATTTCATGAGGCCGATCCAAAGAAAAGCTTATCGACAGAGCATGAACAGCAAGGTCGATATGCTTTTCTATAAAGTTGATATTTGTTATGTTATTTTTCAAGAGATTCATAAAACTTTATTTCAAAATGATGGAAACAAAGCTCAAGTTTTCCTCATTAAAGCAAACAGTAGTAGAAATGTGAAATCACTATAAGTAAACCATGTAGACACGTGTGGTTGCTAAGTTTTTCCTTGGTAGAAATAACATTAAGATGTAAGTTTGAAATCTGCACATTGTTAATTGACAATGATTCTTACCCAAATTTTGCAAAATTGGTCCAATACTTAACAACGTCTTCTGAAAGCTTGTTCACACCAGTCAGGTTCTTACGTTTCTCTTCTGGGAAATGTATAGTTGGAAGATCAAACATAAGATGTATATCATCGCCATGTCCAGCTCCTTTAAACCAAGCAGGCGGATCTCCTCCAAATGGCATGGGACTTTCCTTTGTGATCAAATATTGAAAAGATTTAGCGTTTTCGTTATTCTTGGCGTGGATTGAAAGAATGGTGTTACTTGGAACGATGAACAAATAATCACCACCAAATTCGCAAACTTTATTACTTTGAGCATCAACATCTTCTGTAGAAGTGTAAAAATCACATATTTCTTTTGCTAATTCGGGGACATTGCCAACAGTTTGTTCGATATAAACTGGAGCACTAATTTCACAGAGAACACGTAATGGTATTTTTTCTGTGACATTAAACTCATAATATTCCTGTATCTCTGCATTTAAAAGCATATAAACCAAGTTTCCTTCCCCATCAAGTGTCCCGGACATGAAATCAATGGAGCGAAAGAAACTGTAAATCTCATCATCTACTGACCATGGATAAGCTACATTTTTCTTTATGAGTTCACCATCAACACATGGGGACATGCTTGCTGTATTTACTGATGTGTTCAATGGGGGCGTCAATTCTGCCATGGTAAAAGCATTTGTAATATTTTCTACCGGAATTTCTTGCAGGCATTTCAATGTTTCAGATATATCTCCTTTATCTTTACAGTTTACTTTTTCCAGTAACTGATCTGAACGCTCTTTTTCTAATTCTTTTTTGGAAATTATGCCAGGATAAGTCGCCACACCACTCTGTGAAATAGCTCGTTGAAACAGACCTTTGTTTGAGGGAATCAATGTCAGAAGACTTACAGACATTCCACCAGCAGATTCTCCAAATATAGTTACAGAGTTCGGATTCCCCCCAAATGCTACAATGTTATTTTGAACCCAACGAAGAGCCTCAATTTGGTCCCAAAGTCCAAAGTTTCCAGCCAGAAGAGGGTCGTTTAATGTTAAAAATCCTAAGAATCCAAGTCTGTAATTGGTTGTAACCACTATGACGTCACCGCCTAAAACTAACTTTTGAGGATGGTACTGATTTCCACCACCAAATAAGAATCCTCCCCCATGAATCCAAACCATCACCGAAAGATTCCGATCTTTTGATACTTTGCCAGGAACGTAGATATTGAGATACAAACAATTCTCATCTTGTTGCAAATCGTCCATTCCAGGCATGGGAAATTTCCACTGTGTGCATGATGGACCGAGCTCATCTGATATTCCTTGGACATCTTCCCATTCCCCTAAGGGCTGGGGTTTCTGAAAGCGTAGTTTTCCTAGTGGGGGCTGTGCAAATGGAATTTTTATAAATCTGTAGACTTGGCCATTGTCATAATTTTCTTCATAACCTCTCACCCAGCCGGACTGGGTTTTAACCTCAACCACATTTCTAATCTGGGTTGCTATTGTGGGAAGTGCCGAGAGTAGAAGTAGTACGCCAAATATCCCAGCTTTCATTGTGACTTCAAATTAACCTATCTAGTGATGATAAAGAATAACGTATGATAAAAGTGAATGTGGTCCCTTATTTGATAAAAAAAATTCAAACACTGTAAACATTGTGATAGCTTGCAATTTCAAGCCCCCCTTCGCATGCGCCTATTTACACACGATAGGGAACTTTTTACATATATGCCAGTTTTGCACCAGGGTGTATTTTAACGCATGTGAACGGGTGGTAGGCAAGATTTGCATTCCGAGTATTTTTACTCCTAGTATAAAATTTACATCTAGTCGGGCTAGGAGCAAATTTACTCCTAGTGCTATTTTCAGTGATGAGAACGCATAGAAAAATTGACACAAGGCTAAAAATATTGAAAAAGTCTATAAAATGTAGCATCATTGTTTTCATTTAAAATACATTTTCATATTAGATAGGGTAGTGACCTTCTTGTGTATAATTCAGTCCAATTATGAGTTTAAGAAGATGTGATAATGTTTTTCTAAGTGCATGGGAAACATTGAGTTAAACAGCAACCAGAAGTCCAAAACAAGTATTTGCATAATACTTTGAAAATGCCAACTTAATATTGATTTCCAATCAGTTTGAGAGTGCATGTGAACGCACTGCAAAAAATACATTTGCATACCAAAAGTAAAATTTGCAACATTTTCACCTGCAAGTATATACGCGCATGTGAACAGGCTGAAGAATTTCAAATGATGCTTGTTTTAAAGGCAGCATCGATTTTATTTCAAGGCCACAAGAGGGTGACAAAACGTTACCAAATGTCTTCATTTCTGATGAAATTTCGTCAGATCTGAGATACAAAGAACGCAAGCTTGCTTATCTGAGATTTTCATACACAAGGTGAACCTCATATGGTGAATGGAATATATAAATTTGATAGATAGGCAAGTTTTGCTACGTGGCTTCTGAAAAAAAAAAAAAATGTGATTTTAAGTTGCTGAAAATTTTAACAAAAATTGAGTAAATTCAAAAAAGTGACCAATTTTGTACCATTTCTATGACTTCTGAGAAGGCTATCACTTAGAATCAATGCCCATTTTTAACAGGGATGAAAAAAAGATTTCTTATATCAAGTATTACACCCTTCGATGAGACACCCAACACCAGGGGTCGACAAGGGACCTTAGCCTATCTTGTCCTTTGACCAAATGACAATTATTTTCTCCCTCGTTTCACTCCTTCGAAAATAAATATTTTCTTGACTAATTTATTGAAAAACAAAGAAAAAGAATATATTGTAGGTTGTTGCGTTCGTTACAAATCGCTTTTTATTAATAACACAAATCAATTATATTATTTTCACAAAATAAACAATGCAAGGGAATAAACAATGCAAGGGCTGGGCGGGCCGGGAAAGCCAAAGACACAAAAACTACTGCGATTCTTTGTAATGAACGTCGCATTAATCGAACATTGCCCGGCAAATGTATTTATAGTGAGCGCTAAATCGCTCGTGCATGAAAAACCAGCATTCTTAAGATACGAAAATTCATGAAAATTACCGAAGCTAAAAACGTAAAGAAATAAATTTATTTTCTCCCTCGTTTCACTCCTCCGAAAATAAATATTTTCTTGACTAATTTATTGAAAAACAAAGAAAAAGAATATATTGTAGGTTGTTGCGTTCGTTACAAATCGCATTAAACAAAGGACAGTGATTGCAATAAAATAAATTTTATAGATTCATTGAAACTAGTATTTTTTGTTCAAGATTGTCTTTTATATAACCGTCTTTGGCTTTATCCGTGACCCAGCGACCATGTATTTTAAGCAGTCGATCTGACACATTATTATTAGAAGCGGCTGTAACTCCGCCGCTGCGTAAACTATGCAATGAATATTTAGAACTGTCAAGGCCAATTTCATTTAAAGATGACAACAATATTTCTCTAGCTCTTGTGTATGACAGAGGTTTGGATTTATTGGAAGTTTTGAAAACATTGAGAGATTTTACAAAGATTAAAGCTGTAAAAAGATAATCGTCGAAAGACTTATCCATCTTTAACATGTCAATGTATTTATTTAACCAAAACACAGGACACAGATCATTTCCAGTTTTTGCGATTATAACTGAGTTTCCTCTTCTATAGATATCTGTTTTACTTCTGGGAATGTTGATATCGATGTAAACGTTTTCCCATTTAATATCGCATAATCGAATATTTGATAATTCACCGAATCTAAAGAATCCGGAAAAACCCAATAAACACATCACAAACGATCTCAATTTCAGCACATTTGAAGGATCCTTTGAAGAAACATCCATTAATTTACGTAATATATCTGTAGTGATAGGTTCTTTTTTGTTGATAGGTTTTGATAACATACGTCAAGTACTAGTTTCAGAAACTTGTCCTCGCATGGATTCAAACTTGAAGAAAATTCGTGAGTCCAGCTTATACTGTAGAAATACGCTTCCAGAACGGATGTTGATACCCTCTGTTGCACCAAACCTCCCATAAAAAGAGCGACGGTAGATACTGATGCCGGAAGATGTGTAAAGGAATGCTTCAAACACCAGTCTCTGAATTTAGAGAAATATATGTCGTACTTCTTGTTCGTGGATTGAGATTTTGCGTTTCTCACGATATTAGGCAAAGACTCCACTATATCACTAAAATGGTGATTTTGTTTAAACTTTTCAATATTTATCCATTGGCCTTGATAATTCTTCAATATCTGAAATATATAACAATAATGCACATTAAAATTCAAATCAATTTTGCACCATAGCCAAATGTAGCCACGATAGTATAACACATGCACACAAAACATTTTATAATCAACATCAAAACAGGAGAGCAGTCCTCCTTGATTTAATTTAAGCAGTCATCAATTTATATGATTGTCAGTACCAGAATATTATGTTAATTATAATCTTATATTTGAGTTGCAGTCATTCAAAGTAAACACATCATATCTAGGAGAGCAGTCCTCCTTATTGGATAACAGTCATCCAATTATTTCATTACAATACTCATGCACATTGTACACTGGCTAGCAGTCAACCTTTGTGTACTATATCTGTCCATATTGCACAATCAAAGCATGCTAATTGCACATAGTACATTGTTACAGTGACTTAATTACGAAGCATCCAATCTCAGTGCTATAACATTACTGATAAATTTGTGAGATGCAAATTTGCTACTTTTATCAGAACCCGAAATGAAAAAATTTGTTGGTTTTTCATATTCTATCATATCTTTCACAAACCACAAGAACTTTCCATTCTTGTCGAACAAAGATGGCCAAAAAGCTGCTGATTTCCATTTAGGAACAATTAAGGTGCCCTTAGCCCCGCAATTTAATAAATGTTTTATTGTCCTCCCTATCAAATAAATGGGAGGAACAATCCAATTCAAATCTTGTGACCAGTCAAACGCAAATGCATCGACGCCGCTTGTTCCAGGAGACCAAAACAAAGAATAATTTTTTTTCACTTTGAAATTGTTGCAACTCGCAAAATTATCACAAGTGTAAGGTCCCCAAACATTATTGAAAAATGCAAAAATATGATTGCTTATACCCCAGTCGTCAAAATCAAAAACTTTGCTGACAAAATCTGCTTCTACGTTTTGATCTCGTGGAACCCAGGCTACAGAAAAATCGACATTTCTAATCAAACAATTTGTGTATATAGAAAAAGCAAGAGTTTGTAAATCCGAATCCATGCTGCCGATCTGCGAAATTCTAAAGACGTTTTGATTGTCTGTGTATAGTTTTACAAATTTATTTTCTAAAACCCCACCAAAAGATTTCATGAACATTTCAACTGTTTTAAGTTCTCTAAAAGTTGAACTCTGAACTCTGTCTGATTCGTCCCACATAACATGAAAAACTTTCTTAGTAGAATCTATCATCACGCCACCGCCTGCAAAATCACTAGCGTCAATAAAAGCAATGCGTTCCGGTATGCGATACCATGGAGAAATAACCCTGCCGGGAATTGATAGGCTATTTTTTTAACCAAAACTCTAGCTCACACCACGCGGGAAGTGAAATATTAATATTTTCATCCCAACATGATGCATTTGCAATTAGCATTGACAATTGTCTAGTTGTTATTTGACAAACAGGCCCAAGTGCAAACTTAAATGAAATAATACTGCCTACTACTGAAGCGAGATCTCTGGCAGAAATTTTTTGTTTTTCTTTAAGTTTAATTATCTTACTGCACAAACTTTCTAATTTATGTCGAGGAATACCAATAAACCCGACTTCTAAATTCCACTCAAAACCGAGCCACTCTAATTTTTGAATTGGATTCCAAACGCTCTTTTCTTCATTAACAAGAAAACCAGCATGCAATAAGTCTTTTTGAATATCCTGTGACATTAAAATACAATTTTGTTTTGAATCGCAAACCCAGCCATCATCTAAATACATAATAACTCCATACGCTTTTGTTCTTCAATGCAATACTAACGGTCTTAATACTTTAGTAAAAATGTAACCCGCACTGCTGAGGCCGAAGGGGAGAACCGTGAATATAAAAAAACGCTTTGAGCCATTGAAATTCCAAGAAAACCCCAAGTATTTGTAAAAATCTGGATGAATGTTTACGTGATGATATCCGCTTGTTAAATCAAATTTGATCATAAATAAGCCTTTTTTGGCAAAATTGAGACCCTCTGAAGTCCCTTCGAATTTGAATTTTCTCTTTAAGACGAATGCATTGACATGTCTAAGGTCAAGAATCAACCTTGGCTTTTTATTCAATGGCTCAGAAACGGTCAGTGGATTTACACAATGGGGCGGTTCAAAGCATTCAATCACTAACTCTTTTTTGAACAATTCTAATATGGCCTTTTCAACAAAAGGGGTGCTCTGCAGTGCTGATTTGTTGTTAGACAAAAATACAACTTCAGGAAATGTAATAAATTCTATCCTATAACCAAATCTGATAACATTTAAAATATAATCGTCTGGTTTTATAACATTCTTCCAAAATTCAAAAGAGTTTTTTAAACGATCTTTAACTGAAATGTTAGATTTTGAATCAAAGTCAGATTTCTGATCTAATAAATGACTATCATACTCAACTTCACTGCTGGTCTGCTGTTGATGTTGGAACAAGTGCTGTTGTTTGGGCTCTCTGTGGATTTGTGAACTGTAGTTGCTGGGTATACGGGCAGAATCCTGCAAAGTGGCCCGGGAGTCAGCAGTAGTGGCAGACGATGTTTGCGACCTGTGTTTGAAGAGGTTTTCTGTAATTGGCCGGACTGGGCGAAACGAATCTAGGGTCGAATTGCTGCCGGTAGTTGAATTTTGAACTGCCGAGAAAAAGCTGCCTAGAGGACAAACCATCGAACACTCCTGAAGTTTTAGGGAAAACCGGTCTGTCGTATGGAGATTTCCGCTTCTTGTTGGCGGCTCTTGAAATAGCGGAGCGCAGTCTGGCGGCATCCTCGCTATTGTCAGCAATATCAGAATCCACGTACTCCTTAACGGTGTCCCAACCATGTTTATCAGCTATTCGTAATGACTTGTTTCGTTGACGAATGGCCTCTTTCTCGGAGGAAATTAAATCTGTGACATCGCTAAAATCGCCAGATGTGAGTTTTTGTGACAATAGCTCTTAATCTCGCAGTCTTGCCTCATTGAAATGAAACTGTATTTTGTTTCCTTCTCCAATGAACTCAATTGTGTTTGCTGGTTTAAGTTTATCTTGAACTTCAGAAAGAATAATAGTTTTTTTGCTTTCGTCTAACCTGCTGTTGAATAGACTGACAGCGTCAATAACATCAAAATCCTGTCCAGAATTGGAGTTAGTCTCTGTATGTAATTCTCGAGGAACATCTCTATTAGAAGTTGTACTTGAAGATTCTGTAGACATGCCAAAGACACAAAACTACTGCGATTCTTTGTAATGAACGTCGCATTAATCGAACATTGCCCGGCAAATGTATTTATAGTGAGCACTAAATCGCTCGTGCATGAAAAACCAGTATTCTTAAGATACGAAAATTCACGAAAATTACCGAAGCTAAAAACGTAAAGAAATAAATTAATCTTCGTATAAATGGTTGATTGCTTTTACATTTTACATTTTGTCGACGGATTTTTCCGTTATTTCCCGATCATGACCGGCAGGGGATGCTCACTCCTCCATAGCACCTGATCCCACCTCTGATGTTTGGAGGTTCGTGTTTGCTCTGCTCCTAATTTGTATTGTTTAAAGGACTTTTGAGCCTGAATACTGTTCTTTATCTCCATATTTCATTTGTCATACATATGGATGAACAATCTCTGATGAATCAATATATTAAGAATGTTTTTGAATAGGAATTTAAAGCAAGAAGGTTTTAAGCATATATAGTTAAAAAATGAAACTTAACGTTGTATCGTTTTCCAGAATGCAAACTGTATTTTACATATAAACATTTTTGGGTGTTTAATGGTATGGAGGCAATCCTCAGTTATAGATGTATGGGAATGGGTTTTTTTCTCATCTGCAAGTAGTCGGTCTAGATATGAATAATTTTGCATTTGCCTTCCTGAATTGAACAAATTTGAATCTACACTACCTGAGGATGCTTCCTTATTGATATGACTAAACATGGTTTTGCTGTTCTTGAGAAGATTTTTAAAGATTTTTCCCCATATATTCCTGTATGTAAAACTGATCCCCATTGTGATCCCATTCAACCCATTGGAACGGTGGTTATGATTTGAACACACTTGAATATACACTACCTGAGGATGCTTCCATATAAATATGACCAATCCTGGCTTTGCTGTTCTTGAGAAGATTTTTCCTACGTGTATATATTTCTATGTAAAACTTTTTTCGCTCAATGTGACCCCACCCTAGTCCAGGTGGTCATGATTTGAACAAACTTGAATCTTCACTACCTGAGAATGCTTCCATATAAACATCACCAATAAGCTTTGCTGTTCTTGTGAAGAGGATTTTTAAAAATTGTTCCTATATATTTCTGTGTGAAACTTTGTTCGCTCATTGTGACCCCACCCTAGCCCCGGGAGTCATGTTTTCAACAAATTTGAATCTGTACTACCAAAGAATGCTTCCATATAAATATCACTTATCATGGCTCTGCTGTTCTTGAGAAGAAGATTTTTAAATTTTTTCCCTATATATTTCTATGTAAAATTTTGATCGCCCATTGTGGCCCCACCCTACCCTCCAGGGTCATGATTTGAACAAACTTGAATCTACATTATGTCTGGAAGCTTTCTTATAAGTTTCATTTATTCTGGCCAAGTGGTTCTGAAGAAGATTTTTAATAACCCCCACCCAATTTTCATTATTTCTTAGTTATCTCCCCTTGGAAGAGGGTGTAACCCTTCATGTGAACAAGCTTGAGTCCCCTTTACCCAAGGATACTCTGTACTAAGTTTGGTTGAAATTGGTCCAGTGCTTTTTAAGAAGATGAAAAGTTAACGATGACAACGACGGCAGCGACAGTCAACGGAAAATTTTGATCAGAAATGCTCACTTGAGCCTTCGGCTCAGGTAAGCTGAAAATGCCTGTGGCATTCCCACAGAATTAAGATGTAGTGACCCATGTGAAATAATTTAGATACAAATACTGGTAGCCATTAAATGTGTCTTTATTTTGCACACCAAGACACGTAGGATAACGTTGCGACAAATATTTAGCATATGCTAAGCATAGCCAAAAAGTGAAAAGTCAAAAGTGAGGACTTGCTTATTTAGGACCATGCCATAGTTTATAGTACGCCCCTACTAATCGTGAAATAAACATTAAACAAACACATCCTTAATGATGATACCATAATGTTTACACAATGTGTTCTGCTCTATTTTGATCTGTAAAATAGTTTAAATAACTGTTACAATGTTTACTTACTCTCTTTTACAGCGGAATACCCTCGTGATTTTAGTCTGTGTGAGCATCAACTGTAATCAAGGCCGATAAATAAAAGTTATGGAAAGCATAGTATATCACACTGAATACATTTTTTCAGCATCTATATGATGTCAAAACCTAGTACATAATGCATCTGAACTAGATGTACATCACATGTATATCAACACTTTTATCTCGTGATGTGAATATGTATCTTGCCTATAGTCAAAACTATTTAATCACGATGTCAAAAATATATTACATTATGAGAGTGTACAATGAGAATGCATCTTTTAAAAAACAGTGCAGAGTCAACTTTTCTTTACACAATGTGAATATGTCTTCATTGCGATCGTTATGAGTTGATGTCAGGTTTATTATTTGACGTGAACATACTAGTATATTGACATTTTGATGTCAAGTCAAAAATGTGATGTTAACATATTTTTGCATTTTGTCAAAATCATATACACAGGTAATAAAAAAAATGTGAAACAACGTTGCCTTACGCCCATACTTCATTACAAGATGTCAACTCTTTCTTTTGTTACATTGCACATGAACATATCAGCAGTTTTCCTTTCTTCTTGATAATACTTTGCATTGTATCTTTTCTTCTATATGCGATCTGTACACACATCTAATTTATATCGACGTGGTATTCATTAATGTCATAGAAACCGTTTAAAGTCGGGTCAGGTATAACCGGACAACAGGGGGATGCTTACTCCTCCAAGGCACCTGATCCCCAGCTAGGGTTTTTGTCCAATTCACTTATTATTTATGACATTAATCACAGTTCGTTATCTTCATCTTTTTCATTATTAGATTAAGAATCTTCAAGAATTTAAAAATGGGGCGATCATTTAATTTTAGATAAAAACGGGGATTGATGAACATTTGATTTGATGGGAAACGTAGGCGGGTTAATTTACAAGATTAATACAGCGATCAATTAAAAGATACTTTACCTGAAGGATCGACAGATTTTTTCATCCCTATGAAATCTGAAGCATGCCTGTAAACTTTCACAGTACATGTATATGTCGATACACTGCATTACTTCTCATGAAATATATATCATATCTTACCTCCTTGAGATAGCAGATTTCTACCTGTTAACAGCAACGCAAATCAAGCCTTTTATTGAAAAAGATAAAATTGTAATTGCGTCATATATACTGCTCTATAAGAATAAATATACCTATAAAAATAGAAAATGCGTTCATAAGTCAAAGATATTGCAAAGTTGTCCATAAGAAAACTATACTTGGGATCGTATGACATTTATTAGTGTTAATTAGTGTTAATTGGTGTTAATATTGGACTTGGGAACAGAAGTTTGTTAGTGTGTACGTTAGGTTTGATGAAGGGGTGACCTTCTCTAACCTTATAAAAAATATCAGAATCAATAAAACTCTTTCGTGAGACAACTGAAAAACACTTTCATAAATGATGTAATATGTTACAATACTACTTCTCATTGTCTCAATGAAAAACTCGATCCGTATCAAATTGAAATAGATATATGCTATTGACAAACCATGAATTCGAGAACAACCACAATATTTTCCCCAAAAACCCCAGACCTCTAAAGTTTTGTAAGTTAAAGTAATGTAAATATCGACACATAACTTAGCTTGGTAATTATCAATTCTAATTAGAATTCACTGTTCGAAAATTGGACATGGATGGTTTTAAATATCATTTTGAAAATCCAGAGTGTAACCAAACATGAATATAAAGCAAATAAAAAAGTATTAATTATTGTGGTAACGTAAAAATCAATACATGATAAAAGATTTAAATATCTTTTCTTGAGTAACAGTTATGCATAATAAGTGTGTGTGAATTTGACATACATTATAACTCTTTCTTAACGAAAAAAAATCTACTTTAATATTATACTTTTTTTTAACTTAAAGGGACATGGACACCGATTTGAAGTTTATTACCTTGAAAGTCGTCAAAGTAGAATTTTCTGACTTACTTGTTGAAACAGCGTTTCAGATTTATTTACTGTAAAAACAGTTTAGAAACTTCTTTTATATGAAAAGTATCAAAACTACCAATATCGGGTGTGTTTGATTGTCATACATTTATGTACATCTTTGCACTTCATCAAGTAGAATTTATTCTTAATATTCAAGGAAGGCGGGAAATCTGAGGTTAACAATAAAGATATTAAAACTATAATCAATAAAAATCAAAATAGAAACTTTTTAAAAAGCAAACTCGACACACCGGTGTTGTCAGTTTGTGGTAATTTTGTGGACAATATCAGCAAATCGAATGCACGCGGTAAAACATATGTAAAATGTTAGGTGTAAGGTCATTTCTCTCTAAAACCCGTTCTCTCCTAGGTTATTTCTCTCCAATACCATTTCACAGTAGGTCATTTCACGGCAGGCCATTTCACTCTCCTACCTGGGTCATTTCGCTCCCTGTCCGTCTGTGTTCTTAGATTCATGTCTTTTCAAATAAAATTCATACCACTGATGAAAACCCACTGATGAAAACTGAACATTTGCCAGACTTGCTTTTTAGAGGGCTTTCTCGTCCATGAAAACCATATTTTGAATGGTAATTTTAATCAAGAGTAAATAAATTTTATCAAAATAATCATTTAACCGGCTCCTTTAAACGAGACTGCTGATATTCTTGTTTCATCAACTTGTTTGTAAATAATTTACCTCGTTTTAGAAATTATACATACGTAGAGCATGTTCTGGCGTATCGAATTAACTGAGAGATATAAACTTCGTATGCAGGTGATGAAGGTATATTGCTGCATAAGTAAGGGAAGTTGACGATTGAAAAGTTAAAGGCATCACGTTTATCATAAAGCTTGGTTTTAGATTACCATTAACGTATTTTTCAAGTAAAATATCCAAATATGAAACAGATGTGTCAGACTCTGTGGTATCTTTTATCTCAAGCTCACCGGGATATATCGTATCGACATAAAAATTTAAACAACCATTGTTAATTGACAATACGTCGTCAATATATATAAGTGTCGAGTTGAAGGCCACAGCAAGTGTTTTCTTCTTTTCACGTATAAGATTTTGGACAAATTCTGCTTCATATGAATACAAAAAAGGTCTGCTAATAACGGGGCGCAATTGGTACCCATGGGAATTCCAATAGATTGTTGGAAGACCTGGTCTCCAAAAATCACATAGATCGATATTGTCAATCAGAAACTCAGGCGTCTTTTTAATGTCAACTTCAGAGTACTTGTGTGTACAATCAGAATGTTTACTAACAAAATAATTTTGCAAATGTCCAATGACAAGGTAAGTAAATTTACGAGTATCATTTTTATTGAAAAAGCAACTGTCAATGATATCAAAAAGCCTGGTCTTTAATTTATCAATGGGGAATGGTTGTGAATAAAGTTTAAAAGTCGTAAGTTTTTAAGCTGTTGATTTTGGTAAATTCTTGTGATTTCAAGTTTTCCAAAAGTTCCTTGGAATTTTTAAGTATCCACATCTGATTTACACCACTTCTCGAATATATTGTTGCACAGTACTATTGAAGTTTCTCCTTTAATATTGTTAATATCTTAGTGAGGAGTAAAGAAAGAAGCTTGGTTGAACATTTACTGGAACCCGCTATGTATCTTTGTTTGTAAGGATTTTTATGAAGTTTCAGAATCCAGTATAGATATGGTAATTCGAATTCATTTTGATTGTTTGGAATATTAAAAATATTCAAAACTGGCATATGATTTTGAAGAATTTCTTCCTTAGAAAGGGAACTATGAGTATAAGTTGGATTACCACTTGTAGAATTAAATCCAAGTTCCTCTAAAATACATTAAAGAGCCTTACAAACAAAGACAATGTTGTTACCTGCTTTGTCAGCAGGGACCAGTACGCACTGATCATGTAATCTATCTAATTCTTTTTTTCACTTCTGGATTATTGAATACAGAAGGAAAGGTGATTCTCATATTGCCCCTCAATCTTTTAATGCGCGATTTTAACATACATCTGATACATTTAATCCATTCTGACAAAGTGTCAAAGTCTTTTTTTTCATGTCTGACCCATCGCCTGGCGTAATTCTCTACAGAATCCATAATATTTATGAAATTCCGACGCCAGTTGAAGGATCGTGGTTCCCTATATTTAGGACCTTTTAAAATTAATGATCTAAAGGTCCCCATTATTAACTATATTTACGTCACCAGTAATAACGTGTCCAGCAGGACTATTGTCATAGGGTGAAGAAGAACATGAACACGATGGAGGATTATGTTTCAGATATTCGATATCCAGGCCTGTAACGTTTTCTTGTAATTAAAAAGTTTGGAAGCAATAATCGATGTATATTTTTAGGAAATACAAGGTGTAGTCTTTAACTTTATATATGGTGGAATACAAGACTGGACCCTTTTGTGATTAAGAATATTACTCATATTAACCGCGTCTATTCCTTTGTTGGCATATTGAAGTCTAAGGAAAAAACGAATTGTTGTGGCTGCATTTTCTTCAGTAAAACGTGGGGTTTAAAAAGCCTATAATTTGCAATATCCATAATCACAGATCCGAGCCTATATTCTGGTGTCGAGGAATCAAAAAATGAACTTTCCTTTACCTTTTCAAGAAGACTATTTAAAAGTTTCAAAGGGACAGAGTAGAGTTTGGTGCGAATATGATGTAGACCTACTGTTGATTTACTTAAGGTAGTAATGAATCAAAAGAGACATTGTGTATTAAAGGTTTATTGTAAGACCGATGCTCATGACTACGCTTACGTCTCTGTGTATGGTTAAAAAGTCTCATCACATTTACGTTGTTACACTGTGGACTGGAAAGATTTCCAATACTATCGACATTGTCATTACATCCATAGGGAAAGGCTGTCCGTAGTTTTCTAATTCAAAATTCTTCTCGTTGTCTACGGAAAGGTGTACTCAGTGATGGACTGTTTGTGTGATGGTAAATCTTTTCTAGAATTCTAACTTTCATTGACAAAATAATATGATCAGGTAAATTAAAATGCTTGTATAAAAGCTGCTGACCCCCATTATTTATATGAAATTTATGACCTCATATTCTTTTATGAAGTGATCCCTTGGTTTCACCAAAATAAACAAGTCCACAAAGATTACATTCTATTCCGTAGACAACATTAGAAGATTTGCAGTTCAGATTTTCCCAAGTTTTTGGTATAGCAGCTCTGTCCAGTGAGATTACTGGTGAAAGAAGAATTAGTTATCAAAATGTCACAGGTTTTACAGTTTTTCGCAGAACATTTTGAAAAAGAAGACATGAGATCGGAAAAGGAATCTTCAAATATATCTCTAATTGAAAGTTTACATTCTTTCAATTTTTTGTATGAACTATTGGTTTTATACTAAAACTGAGAATCTGAAGACTCTATATATGACATATGTTTAACATCCATGAGGATTATCCGAGGAGCACCGAATGAGCTCTTTGAGTCTGTGTCCCTTATAAACTCAAAAGAGTGACGCCTTTTTATACTATAGGCGACGCGTCTGCCAGTATCATTTCGTTATTCTGTGTACTCATGCATGAATAGGTACCGAACGACAAGTATCCTCGGAGACAGACTGTCCACCAGCAGAGATACATGTTCGGTGGTTAAAATGAAATATATGGAGATAACGGACATATAACATGAACGCCTTTTGGAGTAGGTGAGACAGTTGAAAAAAAAAAACAAACTACAAGAAGTATTTGATGCTTTATTTTTGAATAAAGAATCATTGATTATGAATCAAACGCTTCGTATGTTAACGCACTGCATGTATATATCTTTGAAAAGTCCTTTATTTTCAAATTTTCACCAATTCTGATAAAAATTGAAGCAACATTAAAAAAAAGACAATCACAAGCAACGACCCATATAATTATTGATGCAGTTACCACAGAAAAATAATTCACTTTTTAAGTTCAGTCAATTTTCAAACCAAATTTGGAAAGCAATCTAGTGTATTTGTGAATACAAATAAACATTTT